CGATGGTTTTCTCGTTCCGTCGATCAAAGTGTCGGTCGAATTGGACACGCGTCACTTTCGAGGTGATCCTCGTCGACAACGATTTTCACTTATGCTTTTTCTTCCATGCTTTTTTGCGCTCCACTCGTGGCTTGGCCGCGAGTATTGGTTTACACGAGTTCCTGAGTTCGGTGGTCCCGAGAATTAAATTTCATCGTTGTATAAACAACCGAGGAGCAGACGAGAGGCATACGGAATCCGTAGAGACTTCCTTCGGGTTAATCCGATCGGATGATACCGTGCCTCGATGCGTACTCGTTTCTTTCACGCGATAAAAATAGGTTGGGAACACGGCGTTTCCTCGTTCGGGCTCGATTGCTCCTCCATTTCAACGGAAACGAAAGCTTTAATGGCGTCCATCGTTGTTCCAAGCGAGATTAACCCTTTAATGGCAGGTATGCATATCAATTATGTGAGATAATTAGACTTAATTCTTAAAGGATCAAAGCTGTGGTTGATCTTGTGGATCGGACGTTTCTTTTGTGGAAAAAGAAATTTTTCTAATTATTTGAGAATATGAGATCTTGTGGAATTGTTACTCGTGGATTATTCGTTCAAGGAGTAAGTTTACGAGAATGCGCTATTTATTAATTATTCTGTTTGTTTTTAACGCTTTGTTAACAGATAAATGTGTGTTTTTTTTTGAAAGAGAAAAATTTTGCAATAAAACATTTCTTTCGAATCTTTCTTGAACGTTCTTTCAAACTTTTTATCACCAAAACGTTCGAATTTCGAAGTTAGCAAAGCAAATACATCTTTTTTTTTTTATTGCATTTTACATCTGTTTTTAAAATTTAAAATCAAACATGTCTGATTGAAAAAGACATGATCGAATTTGAACACAGTATCTATGTTAACAAATCATCAAAGCGATACATATTCTAAATATTCGCCAACCTAACCTATTATATACAAATGCAAAGAAATAACTTTGAATTGTCTCTATGCACTTCCGAAGTTTATTCATGTGTAGAACTCGGTTAATTATATTTATATTCGCGATAACATTCATTTTCGTACAACATTGTCTAAAATGTATCGTTAAATTCCAGACGCATTGAATTTAATGATGAAACAGGTGATCGTGATCTCACATCGCGTCACAATAATGCCAATCGTTATCAGATTCGTCTGTTTTTCTTATCGATTCAACAAATATTACAAATAATCTTATGTATCGATTGTTACGTGTTACATTAAAAATGATTAATAATCTTTGAACACGACTTATTGCAAATTCTGCCTATCCAGTAACTTAATTTCTATCTCTAAGTTAACCTATAATCGAACGAAAGTAACATTTTAGCAACCTACAAATGGAGATTTCAATTTCCAGCATTGAAAATCCAAATTTAATTTTTCTAAATTAAACACATTAAGCGAGTATAAAATCCAACATTCTAACATTAACCTTCAAAATTTCAGCATTAAAAACGTGATGCAAACTTCTCTATTTCTCTTGGTTAAGTATATTACTTCTAAGATTAGTAAAATCAAAGAAACATTCCAGCACTAACCTTCAAAACGTAATCCAAACTTAATTTTTCTATCTTAAGCACATTATTTGTAAAATAAAATCAAATTAACATTCTAATACTAACCTTCAAATTTTCAGCATTAAAAACATGATCCAAACTTCTTCAAGTTAAGCACATTATTTCTAACACTAGTATAAAATTAAAGTAACATTCCACCACTAACCTTCTAAACATGATCCAAAAATTTAATTTCTCTAAGTTAAGCACATTATATTCTAAGATAAGTATAAAATCCAAGCAATATTCTAACAGCACTAACCTTTAAACGAAGATTTCAATTGGAAAGGATGGAAAATGTCCGAGTCTAAAGGGACACGTTGTGAAACATTTACAGAAGGCAGCACCGTGCAATGTATACTTTTTTTTTCCTCGCGAATAGCGTGCGTCATAAAGAAAATGTAGTACTTTCCTTGGCGAGGACGTGACGCAACGCGGTGGCGAGGCCACGAAATTCCGAGTTTATTGTTTCTGCCGGGCAAAAAAGAGCCCCGGCCATATTCACCGTCGGCCGATCGTATGGGATAGGTCATGGCGGTGGTTTATTTGGAAAGACCTCGAAATTTCTTAAACACCTCGTCGAGAGAGGTGCTTGTCGACGACTCAACGCGAAAACGAGGATAGAAATTATTATCGTTTTTATCGTCTTATCTCCGATCCTTCGTCCCAAACTTTTTTTTACATTTGTAACTTGTTCGAATTAGAATATAACAGTAACTCTATCTCGTGTTTGAGAATTTTTTTTTTATAAATTCTTCTTTCTAGATTCAATATTTTCAATAGATTCAAAAAAACTCGCCGTTATTCCCTTCCACTATTTACACTATGCACGTTCAAATAACGTTAACGGTCGGTAAAATGTCCGGTATTTGGAAAATTCGATATTGAAAATATTATTGTGAAAAAAAAAAAAAAAAAAGAAAAAATATTATAATACCGTATTTGTATTTGTATGAAATATTTTTCGTTATCGGTATTTCTTCGATGAACACATTTAATTTCTTCGAAGGAGTATCGACACGTGTTGAGAAATCAAATTGAATAACTTTTACTTTTAGTAAATTTCTTTGTTTTATTAACCGGATAACCGTGATTCAGTAGTTGAATATTTATCATCTTAAAAAGAGATGTGTAATTTACTTCTATAAGATTATTATCATAAGAAGTCCGTAACTCCTAAAGATTATTTGAAAAAATAATATCTATAATTTGGGGAGAAATGGAAGAATCTAAATAACTAATCTAAGATTTCTTTCTTCTTCTTTTAAAATATTGTCACACAATATTCTTATATACGTGTTGTTGTTACTTGACAATTACATTTGAATTATTTGACTCGTAATTGTAAGTTAGTCACTTCCAGTGATACGCAGCGAACATTACATCTTTTCCTTTAACAACAACGAAAGAAACGAACGAAGAAAAAAATCGCCATCATCTGACGGTCTTATCAAATGGATTAACCGTTGGAGAAATTGGCTACGGCGAGTGACGACGAATTTAGATAGAACGCAAGCAAAAGACAATTAAACTTTGGCCGAAAGTTCGAAAGCGTTCCCCGTGTAGCCTCGAGGATGGCGACGGGGGAGGGAAGGGACCGAATCGAAACACCTAGAGCGAACGTCGTTTCATTTAAATGAAAATTAGACGTCGGGTCCGTGTCATCGATTTTTCCTTTGTGAAATTCGCGCGTATGTCCGAGGAAACGAAAAAGAAAAAGAAAAAGAAAAAAAAAAAGAAAATCAAGAACGATAAAGTCATTTTAAAAATAATATAATGATCTAGAACTAACTTACTTAAATTAAATAATTTTATATCTCACATATTTCTTTTTCATTCTTCACTATCGATTCTTTGAGATTATTTAAATAAAAGATTATTCGAATAAAACGATATCGGTTGATAAATATTTTTATAACGTTTAAAACAAAAATGCACATATGCAAGTATACCTAAACGTAGACTTGTAGAATCTTACAAAAATATATAATGAGTGGTGTTTATACGAAAAATATTTACCCATCATGTATAGAATAGACATACTAACAAAATTTCAATGAAAATTATGATTTAATATATATATATATATATATGTATATATATATATATATATATATAGAGAGAGAGAGAGAGAGAGAGAGAAAATTCGAAAATTATTAGTTTTTACTAAAGAAGTTACTTTTTGATTAAAAAATTAAAATTCGAATATCTTTTCGCGAGCGGCAATGAATTTAAAATTAGTGATATTACTTTCTTTTATGATCGTCGCAAACATTCGTGTTGCTCGTCATCAGCTAAATTATGGGAACCAATGTCAGACAATTTTTATCGAGAATAAATCATTGTATGAAATGTTATTTTAAGATAACATTCCTGTTTGTTGTCTCGAAGGCTTCCGCAATTTGCGAATTTTGCAATTACGTACTTAACCTGCAGACTGCAAAAGATTTTTAAGATCATTATATAAGTATATATAAAATTCTTTATACACGTAATTCTATTATGATTTCTTTTTCATTTTTTATAAAATTTTAATTATGATTTTAAATTTTATCTGTGTGGAATAACTTATTAAACCGTATAAAAGTATTTACTTGTGTAAATAATTACGAAACAAGTAGAACAAGGTTAGGAAACACTGAAGTAAAAAATTCTTGGTTACCGTTCGATCTATCGATTAGTTTGAAAAATTGTCGCGGATGGCGCATGTGACGTGTCGTGAAACGCATTCGCGGAACTAGGAAACGAAAAAGTGGAACATCACGCCGATCGAAGATATTTTGAGAACCTGGATAGAAGTTTGGGAGAGGGGGAGGAAGAGGAGAAGGAGGATTCGTGAGGAGCAGTAGAAACGCTAAGATGGAAGCCGAGGTGTCCTCTCGAGTGTTTTCGCAAGACTGGAGTCGAACCCTTGGAAAAACAGACGCCAAATTGAATCCCTCGTCTATAAGAACGTGATGTCTCTCCCTTATCTATATAACTCTACTACTCAAGAGCCTTTTCCTCCGGGGTTTCTGCAGTTTCTTCGTCAACGGATTACACATCTATCTATATTTCTCGAGTAAGAAGTGTCGTCGCGTCTTTGAGGACGAACCTCAATGAAATACACACAACTTCCATTCCTTACGTAGTCGAGAGCATTGCAACGATAGGACTAATAAAATTTTCAGTTTCAAGATTTGAGTAAATCCACGTACTCCTAATTATTTTAAAAATCCTTTCTTATTTCGAAAAAAAAGTATTCGTTCGTGATAAATCTTGATCAGATCAAATCAGATATCAAAATATCGATTCTGATATAAATATGAATATTTCAAAGTAGATTGAAAAAAATATGATATATTCGAATAATTTAATATCTAAAAGATACCGAAAGACATGGAGGATAATTAGGATAATGATTAATATATTTGAAACGATCGTTACCACTAGTTGCGAATCTCCGATGGCTAGTACAAAATTTTTCACTCTGTTCTCCGTAAACGTACACTGTCAAATTCCATGAGGTAAGAACGCGAATCGATCAGGATCAAAGCACCACGTGGTCGTCGGTATTTTTCACTTCTAAATTTTTCGTAATTCTGCGACATCCTTCCTGCGACTCGAACAGGAACAGCGCTCAAAATTCTTAAAAGTTTTCAAAAGAGAAAAAAAGAACTCGGTAATCCACGATAAGTTTCCAATCTACTGCCAAATTCGTTAATTTGACAATACCGGGGAAAAGTATCCGACGGCCGTGAAGTCGCGCGCGGAAAAATTTCGCGTGTGTTCTCACACCACACAGGGCGATGCTCATTGTCTCGCTTTTGTTGCGTCGGCCCTGCGCGAGCTACGAGGGCGTGACTAGGTTAGGACCGTCGTTCGATCCTTAGCAACGTAGCCGCAGAGGCGTCCACGCTTTTCCCTTTAATACCGACCTTCCGATTGGTCGGCGCCCGTAGGTGGAGTCACATGATCGCGATCCACCAATCACGTGGCTCGTTGGATAATAGGCGGCAGGCCGTGACAATGTTCTCGTGATTTTTCGAAGCGAAGCGCCACGCACGGGTCGCGCAGCCGTGCTGGCCGATACTGAACACTTCGCTTGCTCGCGAGGCCGAGGCCCCAGTGTGTTTTTACTCGGGGTTGAGTAAACTCCGACCTGTTGTGTATCATAATACGCGTGCACGCGGGTTTACGGGTTAGCCTCGCATCGACCACTGGATGCACCCTTGTCTCGCACCACGCCGCGCCTGTCTTCCCCGATCGACGAGACTAACTTGCACAGAGTAGAGAGATATTCCGAAGCGTCAACAAAACACCATTTAAACGGGTAACGAGTAAACGAACCACCGTCTCCGCGTCTCCCGCCGACGGAATTGATAATTCACCAACGATCTATCGAATTGATTGGCTACGATGCCGTTCGACCGTATCGATTATTAAGTGAGTGACTACCATTCGCATCGATCGATCGATCGATCGATATCGAGAAATTTTTGCAATCCCATCTAGTGAATATTCCCTATAATCGCGGATTCTGACTCGATACTCGTCTGTGACAAAATGTGTAATTAAATTATTTCGAAGTGATTGATCGAAATTAGTGAGTGAAACTTGATGATCGAAAATTGATGAAATTTATTCTAGAAAAATAAAAAATGTTAAAAAATCTTAAAAAATGTCAATAACAACGTCGAAACTGTCCTGAAAATAATATTTACACATTGTTAACAGTGATCCGGAAAATTTTATACAAATTCACGTAACAGGTGGCGCGATCGATCGGAGTCTAGGTGAATCTAGGTGAAATTTAAAAAATGCATACGCTATTTAGCGAGCAAAATGCGTATTACAGGCATGCAACGGCTGTTCCCGTTGGGATGGGAACCCCATCGTATCCGGGAGTGGGCGCAGCGCCTGGATATTACGAACAATATCGTTACGGTGGGTACGCGACGGCGGCAGGTTATCCAGTCTCGGGTATAACCCAGCAACATATTCATCATCCCGGTAAGGACATGGTAAAACCCCCGTATTCGTATATAGCTCTGATCGCAATGGCGATACAAAACGCGCCCGACAAGAAGATAACCCTGAACGGTATATATCAGTTTATCATGGAACGTTTCCCTTATTACCGCGAGAACAAGCAAGGATGGCAAAATTCCATCAGGCACAACCTCAGTTTGAACGAGTGTTTCGTCAAGGTGCCGAGGGACGACAAGAAACCCGGAAAGGGAAGCTATTGGTCCCTGGACCCGGACAGCTACAACATGTTCGATAACGGTTCTTATCTCAGACGTCGTAGACGCTTCAAGAAGAAGGACGCTTTGAAGGAAAAGGAGGAGGCGTTGAAGAGACAAGGTCTTGTGCCCGAGAAGCAACGTAATCAAGAGGAAACGAAGCCGAGCAACATAGTAATACCGCCGCCGTCGGACACGTCGGGTGCCAAGAAGTTGGGCACCCTGGAGACGACTTTGTGCAAGCCGAAGAGGGAGCCTGTGAACGATACGGGGAGCCATTGTATGGCTGTGCAGGCGAAGTACGGCCTTCACAGCCCGATCCAAGACACGAAAACGGCAGTGACGACGACGACGGCCGTCGCAGTGGCCGGGCAAAGCGTTATACAAACGGCTCTCGGTCACCAAGTGCATCAAGCTCACCAAGTCCACCAGGATGCTGGTATCCAGGATGTGTCCATGGGTTTGGATCCGACCAGTTTCAGTGTCGACGCTTTAATGACGACGCGGGAGAACAGCGCCGCCCTAATGACCAGAGAGAATCAGCATCACACGCATCATCCCCACGGTCTTCAACATCCTCACCCTCACTCACACTCGATCATGACGAGCAGAGAGTCGATGGGCGCGGGGGTGGTATCCAGAGATCACTTGCCGTCCGTTTGTACGACGACGACCACGACGACGGCCGCTGTCGCGGCAATGATGGCGACCACCGGATACGGCCACACCAGCTCCGTGTCCAGGAGCAACGGCTCGCCGCCCGGAACCATGTACGCGCCTTATTGCACGCCCACAGCTGGTTACATAATGGATCACGCGGAATATAATTCGAGAAATCACAACAATACGGCGGGACACTCGCAGTGGTATCAGGAGGCAGCCAGCCCTGACGCCGCCGCCATTTATCAGGATACCCAATCGCCAAGCTGTCAACTTTACAGGTAAGGACAGAAATGGCAATGATACTATTATTTACGTTACGTTGTCATTTCCTTTCAACCGAATCTTTTGCATAATTGTAAATAATGATCGATATACGAGAATATGAGAATGGAAAGGAAGTGGAACGACGCCTCTTTTTTTCCTCTATAATATCGGCTGCAATTTGAAATCGTCGTATCGACTTGTTACGTTATTAGGAATTTACATTCGTGAAAAATATCGACACGTTCCAGATCCAGCCCACCAACTCCGCTCTCGTCGAGTGCAGCTCCGTCTCCACCCTTGTACCACCGATACTATCAAGACTGTAACACCGTCAACACCAGCGGCAATTTACCCATCACGTTACATAAATACTGAGAATACCGAAATTCAAGGCCTCATCACCGAGGCCTTGAAGAACATCACACCGATCACTACGACCCGAGCTTGGTTTACGTGAAGCAAGAGTGGATCCCCTGCACGGAAGACCTCGCCAAAGAATGGAATTAGATAAGTCTAAAAATCCATGATAAAACGGGGCGAAAGTAAATTCGAAAAAACTCGATTCGCAAAAAAAAAAAAAAAAAAAACTACGAACTACACGATACGTAATTGTAAATATTTTATCTTTCACGTAACAAGAATGATCGTGAATGTTACACGTAGCTCGTTGTAGATGCGGAAATGAATATTAACGATAATAATAGAAGGAAAAATTATTAGAGATTCTCGTCGAGGTAAATATAATATTTATCTCGAATTGTTCGAATAATTCAACGTAAGAGCGTTCAATTTCTACTTCGATTTTAGTGTTAGCCGAGTGAAAATAGTTTGACGCATTTTATACTTTATCGAATCTTATCCCGATACATTCTATATCGATCGAGATATATCGAAATAAGAAACGAAAGGTATCGGCAATGTGCTTTGTCGCATGCCAATTCGAGTTACCGACTGATACTTGACATTTCAGAGAAAGATTATCGCGATCAGTGAACACATTTTATGTTTTTTTAAACGTAAAAAACCAAATACACGTGTACTACTTTAACCTAAACAGTTCACGGATCGAAGCATAACCTCGAACTGGTCGTTCCAGACCGCGATAATTTTTTTTTTTCTGTCATTTCTTTCTACGACCCGCGAACGAACGAACGAACATCTTTTTTTTTAATCCATAAACTTTTCTCAACCTCTTTCCTTCCGTTTCGCGTCATGAAAGATTTAATAATAACGAGAAGGAATTCTATAAATAAATCGGTGATATTGGAAAACATTAGATCGATCGAGACGCGTTGATGCATTCGGTTCTAGGTTTGTGATCAATTTTATCGCATACAGAGTCATTCATTAATGAATCGGAAGCTTGTATGATGCGAGACGTATCCTAGAAACAGCTGTGAATATCAATGATGATGGTCGTCACCTGAGCAAACAAAGGCAGGTCTCTTTCCTGATCTACGGTAATTTTGACCGGTTCGAAATTCCTTTTTTCGCTATGATCGTATTTGTATGGAGATACGCGCGATCCTACATACAGTGCAACTGTGCAAACTTGCAACGAATTGATCAGACGGGAAAAAAAATATTTTGGGAATGCTTGTCCGATTCGGTTACCGTCATCGGTACGAAGTCGAATCACACTGGATGCTGATACATATGAAAACGGATTTCACAAAATAAAAAATATCACATAAAATGATGTTCAATGCTACAATATTGATATGATTTTCAGTAATTTTCTTTTATATAACGTTTAAAATCAAATTCATTATTTGCTATTCATTATTTACAGTACATTTGAACATATGAACGATTCAGATTAATTTATTTCGTATTTTGAAAAATTTTCAACTTTAATTAAATATTAGCGTTTAAAAATCAAATAATTAGCTTCGATGAAGTGTAATCATCAGTTTGATTTCTACATATATCATTTATCAATCTTTTTTAACTCTTAATCTCGGATGCCAATATTGGATTGAGAGTTGATCGTGTATTATTACAGTTGATATAAATAATTATTGTACTAATTATAGTAATAATTATTTACGAAATTTAATTAAGAATTTAAACGTAAAGAAAATCACATCGATAATTCGTAGAAATCGCAATGAACATTTTTGCGACAAAAAGGTTAGTACAATTAGTGGAAGCGACATTGTAGCGTCAAGTATATCAATCAAATAATCAAAATGTTTTGAAAATCAAAAATAATAATTCGAGATATATGGGGAGATATAAAAATTGTTTTTTTTTTTTTTGTGAAACATGTCAACTGTATATACATTATTTAGAAATATATATATATATATATATATATATATA